TTTTTATCATCCAACCATATAGAATGAGATAAAAACCGAGAGGAACAGCAGCAAAGGGAGAGGAAAACGAAATATAAAGTTACTCAAACCCAACATCCACCATGGAAATGCAAAGACAAGCTCCAAAACTCAAACTCCAAGCATCAAGAACAAGCAAATGGAAGTGGAAATGAATAGTTTTTCACCACCAATAAGCTAAGACAACCAAGAGTAAATTAAGAGAAGAAGAAAATCTGCATCTTGCTCATTGAAATGGCCAAAAACGAGACACCCAAGTCAAGCTCTCAATAAGAGTGTTCATACAAGAAACCCTAAGAGAGAAAAGCTCAAAACATGAAAAAATGAAGTGTGTAAGAGTCTTCTTTGTGTGGCTGGCTAAGGCTCTCTAAAGTGCCGAGATTTCTCTTCCAAATGGGGTCCACAATCAATTAAAAACCCTAACCAAAAAGGCACATGTCTTACAAATAGGTCTTTTTACAAAATTGCCCCTAAAAGGATCCAAAACACCTAATTCTAATTAAGGGCTTCTAGAAAACGAAATTACAACTTTAATTAGAATCTAAATGACTAAATGTTGAGCCTTTGAGTGTGTCACTCCATATCCCAATGCTCCAGATGATGTTTCCACAACTTCCCTGCAACCAAAAATGCACTTAATCAGCTCAGAAAACCCAAATTAGCACAATTATGAATTTTTGACCAAATTAAGCAGAATTCGGAAAATGGGGAAATAACAGACAATTAAACACAATTCCCTGGTTTATTTAAGTGCAATAAACTAAATATAGTTCAATAAATAACGACTCATCAATGGCACCTAGGCCTCCTCCTCCCCTACCCATGAGTCCGGATGTTTCAGACTTGATGAGAATGATGGAGTCAGTAATTAATGCAATGCAACAACAGAATACAACTTTGGTTCAGCAGAATACTGCGACAATGCAGCAATTGGAGGTTGTCAGGGTCTCAGCTGAGGCTTCTCAGAGGCAGTATGTGGATATTATGGTGAGTGGTAGAGTTATGGCGGGATCGTCTACTTCTTTTACTACTCATCAACAAGAATGGAGCTTAGAAAGTTTTCTACAGCATCATCAGGCTAAGTTCAGTGGGAAGTGCAGTCTAGATGAGGCCGATTAGTGGTTTCGAGACATGCAGAGGATCTTTCATGCCAAGAGGTGTTCGGATGAGAGTCGATTTGCTTTTTCTGAATATTTTCTAACGGGGGAAGTCGGTCATTGGTGGAGTAGCATGAGGATGCTGTTGGAGGGAAGTGGTACTCCTATCTCTTGGGAAGTATTCAAGCAGAAGTTCTATACCGAGTACTTTCCAGATAGCATTCGGTTTGCAAAGGAGGTAGAGTTTCTTCAGCTGGTTCAGGGGAACATGTCGGTATCAGAGTATGCCGATCGGTTTAAGCATCTTTTAAGGTTTCATACGTTGACAATGAATGAGGAGTGGCAGTGCAGGAAGTTTGAGAATGGGTTGGGATGTGATATCAAATTGTTGGTCACCGTTTTGAGTATCAAGGAGTTTCCAGCTTTAATGGAGAAGGCTAGAATTTTGGTGAAGACAAAGATGGAAGTAGAGAGTCAACAGAGACAGCCACCGAGGGTTGGAGGACCGAACATTTCCAGAGGCAGTTTTGGTGCCAGGAGAACTCCTTATTCTCGGTCTTCTTCTTCTTCTGGATCTTTGGGTTCTTCTTCACCGTCATCCGGTTCTAGTAGTCATTCAGGGCCGCAAGGGTTAATAAGTTGTTACAACTGTGGAGGACCTCATATGAAATCAGTTTGTCCTCAGTTGGTGGGACTCATGAAGTGTAATCGGTGTAGAAGGGAAGGTCACTACGAGAGGGATTTCCCCTTGGGTAGAAGAGTAGTGGTCTAGAACCGTTCGATTGGGAGGTTTCAGCCAAGAGGAGGTGCCAGATCTCAGGCTACTGGAAGGGTCTATGCTATGTCAGGGGCAAAAGCATCCAGTTCAGGTAACCTTATTATCAATAATTGCTTGTTGTATGGTAAAGATTGTGTAGTGTTGTTTGATTCAAGGGCAACGTATTCTTTTGTTTCTAAGGCATGTGTAGAGAGACTAGGGTTAATTTTGGGAGAGTTACATTATGATTTGGTGGTGTCTACACCAACAGCAGGTTTAGTTAGGACATCTTTATTGTGTGCTAGATGTCTGGTTGAGGTTGAGGGGCGTCGATTCAATGTGAACCTTATATGTTTACCTTTACAAGGTTTAGAAGTAATTCTAGGAATGGATTGGTTGTCTATCAATCGCATTCTTATAGATTGTGGGGAGAAGAAGTTGGTATTTCCTAAAAGGGATGAAACTGTGCCATTGTCTTCTGGGCAGTTGAAGCAAGAATTGTTGGAAGGAGCGTGTTATTTTCTAGTTTTATCTCACTTGGAGGTTGTTCCGAGTGAGAGGTTTGTAGACCGCTCGATAGTTAATCGAGTGGATCGTTCGGTAGCAAGTGGTATAGACCGAACGGTAGTAAGAGAATTTTTAAATGTGTTTCCTGATGAAGTGCCTGGATTACCTCCTCAGCGAGAAGTTGAGTTCTCTATTGATCTAGTGTCGGGTGTTGGACCAGTATCAATAGCCCCTTATAGGATGGCTCCAGTAGAGTTGGCGGAACTTTAGAAGCAGATTGAGGAATTACTAGAGAAGCAGTTTATCAAACCGAGCGTTTCGCCTTTGGGTGCGCTTGTTTTGCTGGTGAAGAAGAAGGATGACAGCACTCGGTTATGTGTGAATTACAGGCAGTTAAATAAGTTAACCATCAAGAAAAAGTACTCGTTGCCTAGGATTGATGACTTGACGGATCAACTACATGGGGCTATGGTGTTTTCTAAGACAAACTTGAGATAAGGTTATCATCAAATTTTAGTCAAGGCAGGGGACATTCAAAAGACTGCTTTTAGGTCTCAGTATGGTCACTATGAATATGTGGTGATGTCGTTCGGTGTTACTAACGCTCTGGCCATATTCATGGACTACATGAATCGCATCTTCCGACCGTTCCTAGACAAGTTTGTGGTGGTCTTCATTGATGATATACTGATCTACTCCAGAACTAGAGTGGAGCATGAGGAGCATCTGAGGATAATGCTCGGTGTGTTGAGGGAAAATAAATTGTATGCTAAGTCGTCCAAGTGTGAGTTCTGGATGGATGAAGTGCAGTTCTTAAGGCATGTGGTCTCGGCTGATGGCATTTCTATGGATCCTACAAAGGTGCAGGCGGTTCTTCAATGGGAGAGGCCCAATTCGGTCACGGAAGTCAGGAGTTTTGTTGGGTTGGCAGGCTAGTTAATTTAATTGATTGGTTGATTATGTATGAAAATGTTGTTTGATGGTTTTGCATGTGTATGGAATTGGATTTTTGTGTGATTGGTATTGTATGTAGGACTGTCAAAATTTTGTGATCATGTTGATTTCTTCTGCAAAGTTCTTTTTTACTATGTCTAGTGAATTGTGAGGAAGTACAGTAGTGAAATGGTAATTTGGGGTCAGAAGTTAAATTGGTCGGTTGGGAGAAGAGGAAGTCGATGATCGTTCGGCCTTACTCTTATGTCCGGTCTTAGTAGTGTTCGATTTTGTATTATCGTTCGGTCTTAGCAATACACGGTTTTGTATTAGTGTTCGGTCTTTGTAGTATTTGGTTTTGCACTAGCGTTCGGTCTTACCAATGCTCGATTTTTAATTAGCGTTCGGTCTTAACAGTGTTTGGTTTTGTATTA